CCGCACTAGAAACAGAGTTATTGAACTGACAAAAAAGTTGTATCTTGATAATGACGAAATTAGTGTTGTTAGAGAGATCAAAGCTTTGGGTGTCACTTTCACAGAAACATTGTCGTGGAATAAGCATGTGCAAAATGTTTGCAACAAGTTAAACTCCGTCACTGCATTAATTAATAAAAACCGTCAAATATTACCAGTAAAAGTTAAACGTCTGATATATAATGGATTATTTTTATCGACATTAAATTATTGTCATCTTGTATGGGGTACTACATCCTCTGACAACTTGAAAAAACTCGGTATATGCCAAAAGCGCGCAATTCGTGCAATAGCCAACGTTTCGTATGCTACTCATACTGCCCCTTATTTTGAAGCATATAATATACTCAAAGTTAAATTCGTCTACGCATTCCGTCTTTCCTGTACATACCGTCTCGCCATGAGGACTAATAACACCGAATTCATCAGTTCGTTTCGCCTAGCAAGACGTCACTATATATACGACACAAGAAGTCAGGATGACTGGATCCAGCCAATATGCCGCACAAACTATGGCAATCAGTCTGTATCGTATCAACTAGCCGTAATCTTAAACAAATATGCAAAACATGGCATAGCCACTGAGTCGGCCTCAGCACGCACCTTTCGCTCATTCTTATCGGGTGAAGTTTAGACTTCGTTTCACACTAACATCTAGTCGTATTCATCAGTCGCAGAATGATACGCACGGTTCATCTGTTTGTACATGGCGTTTTTTTTTTTCTCTTTTTGTCTGTGTGCGTTTGGCTTGCTCATTCTCTTTCGGAAATTGTTTACTTTTTTTGTTTTTTTTTTTGCATATGAATTTTTTTGTACTGTGCGTTGAAATTGTAATCTTCTTTTCACCAATAGGACTTATTATCATGGTCCACATAATAAACCGAGGCTATAACATTTCTCATACTAGAGAAATGTGCTCAGTGTTGGTAACTACTACCTGTTTTAGATTTCGTTCAAATGACTGTTACGTTCATGTCGTTTACCAATGACTACGGCATGTTTTTTAACGTTTTTTTTATGTTCTCAGTGTAATACTGATTTATTGCCTTTGCAGTTTTTTTGTTGGATTATTTATCAACTTCTGTTGTACACGTAATCATTACCTACAACTGTTCGTGTTTTTCTTTTTTGTCCTTTTTTCCATAAGTCTTATGAATGTGTATTACTATGTATAATGATGTATAAAGACCAAGTCCTCCCATGTTTCTCCTAGAAATCGCTACATTTGCCTCTTCCTGTCAATGTGCATTCAAATCAAATGTTTTATTTTCCAGCAAAATCAATTTTTGTGTGGTTGATCATTGTTACTGCTGGACTTTGTAGGGGGCCGGAGCTTTGTCAAGCCGCAGTACTGCGGCTTTTTTTCCGTCACCCCCATATTTCTCTATGAGAAATAAAAGTTGATTGATTGATTGATTGAATTGGTATCACGTCTTGCGATACGACGCTAGTGAGGCTTTGTATTTCGTTGCGCCGTGGGAACATGTAGCACTTATTTACATCTTTTTTTTTTCTCGTGTCTCCGTGGTCACTGTCATCATCGTCATCACTGTCATCATCGTCAAAAGCATCTTCTCGGAAAGCCCCATAGAGAGCCCAGCAGAGTAGATAAAACCGACCTGATTTCACTGTTTGAAAGAGGATACTTTTGGAGTCGCCAAATAATAACTATGTAAAGTATCCGCTCTACTATACGTTACCTTTTTTTCCTGAATACTCCCATATTGCTATCCTTATCTGTTCATTATTATAATCGAACGTGGTTAAAACGAAGTAGCGCCAAAACCACATATTTGTTATTTGTATCCGATATTCTTTCTAAATGTAGAGATAAAAAATTGCTCTAAGAAACAGGCGCTCTTGCTCGTAAAATAGTCCAGATATGTACATGCATAGTTTTATGCTTCGAATCCACTACGCATGAGATAATCTTTACCTCTTGCTATGAATGCCTTTCTTCAACCTTGGACAAGTGGCGCTACCCTTCGCCGTCACACGAACTTCTGCAGTTTATCCGTTCGATCTGTTCATACGATGGCGCGACCAGTCGGATGTATTTTTTATGCGTTGACTTGCCAAAACTTTTGCGCGTCTTTTTTAAAGTATTGAAAAAAAAAGTGGCTAGGAACTGTGTTTTCAATTCCGAGCCTCTCGCGAACCAAATATTTCTTCGTTTCAGATGATATCTCGGCTGTTCTCACACTCTCATTTTCGTTATACACGAAATAAATGTCACCGACATGAAGCGTGACCAGCCTAAGTTCGTACATTGTACGCTTTTACGGATAATTTACTATAAAATCTTTGTTATAACGAGGTTCAGCGGTGTCTTCTTTCCTTTACGGAAGCAGATAGAGAATGAGGGAAAGTCGTGGTTATATGCTAACATGCTATGTCCAGTTTCGTTGGCTAATGAGGGAAGAGTAATATTTACAGGAAAAGATACGAGTAGGGGCAACTGCAAGCAAGCCACCGTGTAGCTACACGAGATCGTATAAGTCGACCGTCTTGAAGTATTTCAATATGTTACTTTCGGAGTCGATAGCCAGCCGACGTCAGGCTTCCGAGATATTTCTTTCTTATAGAAGGCCGGTCACCAGTGTGTTCAAGGCACGGTGAATATTATGACGTTGCTTACTTAAAAAGTTTATTTTACACGTGAGGTACACAATATAAGGTCAATGAGGTACCAGCCGGTGAGCTGCTGATGCTGCCGTTGTCTTAATCATTACCCATGCTGTCGTGTAGTATACGTCATTGTCGCAGCGGTCGAGTGAGATATGTTTATCTCATTGCGGTCGTGATATTCGTGGAGTGAAACTAACGTTTTCCATACAACAGTAAGCACAATCTAAGCCATACGAAATCCACTGCAAGCTTCTCGCAGGCAAAAATATTTACTGTCTAAATAAAACATGACTCGGGCCATCGAACCTGTAGTACCAACACATTTTCAGGTGCCAACTAGCGCAATTGCACTTTTTACCTTTTCAGGCTGCTCACTCTATCATCTGAACTTGTCTGAATAGAAAAATAGGATGCGGAGGGAGGCCCGAGCTCCTGAATACAGAATGTGACCAATTAACGCTGCACAAGGCTGCAAGAGTGATACATTTTTACTTTTGTTTTTCGAATTTCCTCATAACATTGTAAAACTATTTCCTTTAAGCCACTGTCAACTTTGTTTGTTTTGTTTGTTTGTTTGTTTGTTTGTTTGTTTGTTTGTTTGTTTGTTTGAACTAAGGTTTAGTGTGCGTCTTCACCCAAAAGCGGTTGTACCACAATCACCATTTCGAATTATATATTTTTAATTTTGTTATATAATAGGTGGCGTAAGGTGATGGTTACTCACTGATGCAGTCATTGACTGCATCTAACTTCTGGAAAAAAGATTGTAACGAAGTTCGTCATAGGAATTGTCATGCAGGATGACAAAAGTGTCAAGCAAAATAAACTTTGTATATACGAACACAATTACGCACGTCAGTCGAGAGACAAGGCAAATATAAATACATGTCAACGCATATACGCATAACATATATATACATAAAACACAAGTAAACACAAATACTTCTATCCAAGAATACATTCAGAAGCATAGTTTTGTAGGTAGAATAGAGAAAGACGTAAATGATATCAGAACATAACTCATAACTTGACACCATATCACGCTTGAAAGTTTTTGCAACTTTGAAGAGTACATAACAGACTTTAAAGTTTCGCAACTTCGGAAACTACATGACTAAATTGTAAAGGGGATCGTAGGAGTGCCTTTTCAAGAAGACACTGATGCAGGTCCAGGGCTGTGACCCCCTCCAGACCTACGCGTTCATAGATGCTGTGACTTGCATAGCTCCGCGATTTTTAATGACTTTTAATGATGTTGCCCACTCACTACAGCCACGACAGCACGTACCTGATTAGGGAGAACTGAAACAGAAGTGGGACTCGTGAATCAATTTGTTATTTCTTTTTTTAATAGTTGTACCGTTAAAGCTCTTTCATGGATGTTCACATTCGGTGCGTCAGACTTAATTCAAGTCCTTGGGGATCAGCACGCAAGTTGTCTTGAAGTTGGAAAACATACTGAAATACTTGAAAACGTGGAGTAAACCATCGTTGGTTTATATGAGAGAGGAAAATAAGACAAACACAAGGTATTTGTGAAACGCTTACAGAGACAGACATTATGAGCTTTGCATCTAGGCACCGTATCGCAAGAGGCAGTGCACGCAAAGTGCTTGTGTGACAGCCTTTTAAAAAGACTACAATGTGCGTAAAGGTAAAGGCCAGTGGGTTTATTTCAATACGTTGTGAAAAAATGAACGTCATCACGAAGTGCCAAGTCGTTTTTACCATAATCACAGATGGATTGTCTCAAACCAGGGGGTGAGTTTTTTTCGGTTATTTTATTTGGCAAATTTTCTCGCATTAAGAATGTATGAGATCTGAACCTCGGGGTTATTTTTGTGGCCGGGTGCATTTGTATATACCAATACTAGCGTAGCCCCATGCATGTACTTAACGTATTACACTACTTGATTTTGGTTTACTTAAAACCAAGTTATTATCGCAGAGCACTCTAGTTTGATAGTTTAGGTCAAGCCAGGTAAACTGTAGAGTCCACGCCGAGCTTATGCAATTTTTTTTTACATTATTCACGGGTGATATGAAAAGAATTCAGACAACACAACTTTTCAATATTTAGAGTGTTCCTGAAGTTAACTTTGCAATGAACTAAAAAAAGCTAGCACACACGCGTTGAAGAACGCAGGGTCATTGAGGTGAGTATCTTACATTGAGTGTACGCACACAGCTTTTAGAAAGCTGCGTAGTATCTTTTAGCTAGGTTCGTAAAACATCCTATCATTAATAAACCAGTAAGCGTGCGTGAATAATACTGGCCTCAGTGCTCGTAAACCCTATATATGCCTATATCTTCAAATTTCGTTGAAGACGCCAGAAAAGCTCTTCGTGTGTATGTACAAGGCGCGCGTTCGACCCGAGGGTGGCCTCAATCCTTGACTTCTCTCGCGACGTCGTCTGGCTTCTTTCGCTGTGCATCTGAAGGCAGCAGTTCCACGCTGTAACTCAGCTCCTTGCGAGTCAGCCAGCTGAAGGAGTTGTCGAATACAAGCTCATCTGCGCAAGTTTCGCGAGGATACCGTAAAATGAATCAATTTGTATTTTACGAGCAAAATAGAGAGTAGAGCAAGGTTAAGGGAGAGATATCGTTATTCGATCATAGCCACCTGCAGTAGAACGATCAATTCAATGAGTTTAACAGCAGCATTAGACGCGAGTAAACGTAAAAGAAAAATGTCTGTCATACACATGGTAACTGTATTCCTTGCTACTGTATTCCAGTTTGAACAAATTAGGGCGAAAGCGTTGCATACCTCATCGAACGCGAAATTTGACCATTGGCCTCGCGTGGCGCCACAGACGAGTGATTCGAAACGTCATCATGACGAGATAACGTATATACGTCACAATGACGTCACACATCGCAAAAATTTTTGTGACGTCATTATGACATCACCGTGACTCCACCTGGCGTAGCGTCGATGATGACGCCATCACATCGCATCATTGCTTGGTAAAAGGTGATACGGACGCAATGCGAAACCAGATGAGGTGCCTGCGATCTTGGAGGCAGCGCAAAATTACGTCAGGTACAGAAAGCTTTCGAATGATGACGAGGCAGCATCAATACATCGATGAAGAGGAAAAAATAAGATGGCATTCGCCTTTGAGTCGTCTCAAGTGAATGCGTAAGAGAGGGACTCGTTTTTTACTGAAGAGATCTTACTGGGGTATACTTGACGTCATAGGGCGCGTATTCTCCATTCTGGAAGAGGTTGAACGAGGCTAGTTTCACCACAACGCACCCCCCCCCCCCTCCGAACAATGGACAAACCCTAAAAAAAGCAAGCTTCGAAATTGATGTAAAAATTACAATAAATATAAAGCAATGAAGTGCTCACAATGACCTGCCATTGGTCGCCGGTTTTCCAGGGGTGCAATTCTTGTACTACAGCAATCACTGGTACTCGGCCGCTCTTATCGTTTAAAATTATGCGTGACTATAATCTGGCGCATTGAACAAAGACGTAGTGGGTCTGAATGAGACCCCCTCCCCCCCATACACGTCAGTGTGCGCAAGCCAATGGTTAAACGCTGTGGCCACCAACCCCTCACAGATTCTTACGTAATGAGTGTTCATGTTTTAAAGGTACAGACGCAGAAACAAGTAGGCGACTCCCCAAATTTCGTGAAGCGACTGGTTCTGGCCCTGCTCGCAAGCACTCACAAGTTCCGGGCTCGTTGCAACAGAGACGTCCTCTGTGGGGCTCACTATTGGAGGAGGGAAGTCTCTTGGCGACCACCAGGTCACGTGTCTCTTTCTCGCCATCCGCGGTATTCCTGAATGGCCGGAACCGCACGGAGAATGCCACGTCGCCAGACGCTGTGTTGAACTTCCATCGCAGCTCGGAGCCAGCGTGATCCACTGAAACCTGAACGAGCAGCGACGAATAAATTTTTGTGAATACGAGTATAAGGGTAAAAGCATTCGAAAAATGTTCCTTTTTTTTTTCATTTTCACTGAAAAAAATTTTTTTTCCACTGAATCCAAAGCTTCTATGGCTATCTGTTGATCCATTACGAATTACGTGTTGTGGCACAATATTTATTAGTGGGTACAACATTAACCATATATATTGAATCGCTAATCACAAGATACTTTCAAATACACTCATGCAGAAAAGAAAGAAAAACGGGGAATAAACAAACTATGTACGCATATTTAGTAGCATATACCGAATACTTTAATAATGTAGTGACTGGTCACCACATTAATAGAAATAGTTTCATGACCGATTAAGCAAATGTTTGGCAGACGTTTCGTCACGGAAAGGGATCCTGTTCTAGATTTTTGCGCCAACAATGTACATCTCTCGACGGCCGTGAACATTGTAGACCAAAAATAAAGGCTCGCCTCGAAGTCCTATAGCAGCACATGTTTACCGCCCTCGCCGTAGCAAATGCAAACGATTTCCTTTTGAACTGACATTCACTAATTTACCTCAATCATTTTTTATACATCGTCTTGCAAACCGATTCTGCGCGAATAACTGTCAGCAGCACTAGAAGATGTAGACGAACAATTCAGCGTAGACTCATTCATCTAGGTATAGTCTTGGGATAAGCAGCCCCAATGCCTGGGATGAGCCAAATGTGAGCGTCGTCTTTCCGTATACAAAACACGCTAACCGGTTCCTTTTAATTAAGAGGGCGGGTTGTCGCATGCTGTCGTCGTCGTCGCTTGGCGTAATGCTCAATGTGTGGCATATTGAGCGCACTCTAGCGCCCAATGAGAAGTATTTCTTCCTCTTGTTCTTCGAGCGCCTTGATGATGATAAGCCATTTGGTGCAACCCGAGCAAAACAGCGTATAAAATATGAAGGAAAGAGCAAGCAAGCGCGCGGTCAAAAAGGGAGAAATGAAAAACATAGCAAAAGAAATATAAATATAAATAAGATAAAGAAGGTAAAGAGACGAAGAAAAAATAAATAGAATGAGCGAAAAAACTGAGAAAAAGAAAGAAGAAATAAAAAAAGAGAGAAGGAAAGAGAAAACCGAATAGAAACAAAGAAGGCTGCAGCCTAGCTCCGCACTTCGTTGAGGCTTGGCAACACTGGGAGAACCTGCCTTAATTTTTTTTCTCAACGTTGGTGAACAGGGCTCTCCGACGATTACCCACAATAGAGGCATCATTACGTGGAACGGCGGAAAAGACGAGGCACTGGTTGAAAGGAAAAACGGGACAGGCACTGCTTGTTCTGCGCCCGTTCCTGCCTGGCAGTGCTGCCTGTTTGGCAGCGCCTGTCCAGATTTCCTTTCAACCGGTTCCTTGTCAGTCGCGCCGTTCAGCGCCACGAATCTGCGCCAACTCTCCCAGCTTTCCACTTCGGAGGCAGCATACCGGGAGGGACCAGCAGCAACCGGCTCCGACGGTACACGAGCGAGTGCCTTCGGTTCCGCACCATTTTCTTCGGTACTTCTCCGGAACAGGACCTCCTGGACAGATCTGCGATCAAAAGTCAGAGAATACTGTCAGCCCACGTGCTATAGCTTAAGCCGGCTTTAGATTGGTGAACGCTGAAAGAAAAGAAAACGGATCCTGCTCGTGGTATCGAAACCATTTTTTCACAGTATACACGTACACCAATCATGCCGGCCCAATGCGCTTGGGGAGCAAAAAAAAAAAAATGCGCGAAAAGAAAATTGAAGTCTGGTGATGCCACTTTCAACTTCCAGCACTAACTCACCGTGGCGTCATAGATTCTGACAATGTCTGCCGGGCATTACGTAAGTTTTAGCTAAAAACCAGACATTATCTTTTGAAGGATCAGCACTGCGAAATTCCGGATATTTTATTGAGCTAATAGAGCCAAGATGCGAAAATAAACATTGAAGTTACTTATGTTACATGGACTTTCCTATGTTTCAATTTCGGCGTGAAATTCAAGAAGTGAAGCCATGAAGTTAGTTTTATTCATTATTTTCTAATGAAGCAAGTTATGGTCTCAGATTAAGCTACCGAAGAGCTCTCAAAGAATTATTAATCGGTATAAAGGGACTTTGTGTTTCCGCCTATTATCATTTCAAATAATATAAAGCCCGAAAAATAAGTATCATATAAAAAATATCAATTAAGTACCTGGAAATGTAAGCTTCGAAAAAAAAATAACATTTGTAGTCCCCCAATAGGCGCTCAGTTATACATGTGGGTCAGCCAAGAAAATTTAAGACTGTGACAAAGAAGCACCTTCTTTTCCAAGTTTATCATCAGCTTTTACGACTCACTGCCCATCACCTGCACGAGAATGATCACTTTCTAAAGGTAAAGAAAAGTGCAATCTACTTCTCACATAATAAAACGGATCGAGAGCGAGAGTGAAAGAGTAGAAACGCAGGTGCACAGTACTAGTCTACCCCCGTCTCCTCTTGCCTTATATTACAGTACGACCTCACATCTCTACAAGTAGGTGGGGAGGGGGGCAAAAAGAGTGACAGAAAATACGAGAATATAATATATGGAAATTATCTGAATGGGGCAAAACGTTTGTTTGCCCAGTCCTAAAGTCTTGCTTCATGCATTTTGATATATGCAACTTATGAACCACGAGGTCAATATTCAAGGATAGCCACAGGACGGGCTACCCCCACAGCTTAATCAACGTGGCGTAGAAAACCGAAGGCTTGCGCACCAGATGCCTGCAGCGTGCATCGCCGTCAGGTCCTCTCAGGCGACCGCCCCAGTGAGCGGGAAGACTCTCCACGTCGAATCGCGCAGCCAGTACATCTTTCCAGCCATCTGCAATGCCGAAAAATCGACATTCCTGAGTCAGACATTCTGATGTATCACGTTTATTGCCTGCATTTTACTTGGTAACACTTAAACAAATGCGGCATCACATTGATCACGTTAGCCTACTGTGGCTTACGCATCTTTTAGCAAAAAAAAAAAAAAACTTCCTTAAGGCTAGTTGGTAAGTCATTACGGCATGTGGCAGCGCACAGCGGGTTAAACAAAGGACACGCAACACAAGGACGACAGAAGCGCTTGTGTCGCCTCCTTGTGTTCGTGTTCGTTGTTTAAACCGGTGCGCACTGCTGAATGCCATTTTAGCAAACCTTGGACACGGTTCAGTGTTTATGATTGTGAAATTTCGCCGCATTGTCGACTTATGCAACGGCGGTACCCTGGACCAATCTGAGAGGTGCTGTGAGCTATCTCAGTACACGAGAAAGAGGAGGGGGGAGGGAAATAAGAAATAAATGACAAAACGTGTGCGCCTTCAGTGTGGGGAGGCCCTGGGTTCGTATTCCTGCGTTGAAGAGTTCCGATTCCCCATCGGTGTGGAGAGGCGGAGAGATGTACCCCGGCCTTGTGCTCGGTGCTGTGGTTCCTCGAAGGGGGTATCTTCTTTTCCCTCTCCATTCACTTGACATCGATGACCCTAAGCCGTGCTCCCTTATGGGTTGCAGTGATAACCATTTTTCCTCTCTTCAAGCCACTCCAACATCGTTATGCAAAGTAACTGCCTGTTAGGTTACTATGCCTCATGAGGGACAGCACTAGTGCCTCAGCACTTCACCTTTGTCTGAACTTTATGACACAAATCTAAAACCGAAACTTCACGAACAAGACACGTACCAGTTAGGTCCTTGACGAACGACTTCAGATTACTTGTTAACAGCCATGGCAAGCAGATTGTAACACGTTTCTTTCTTTGTTTGCATGTTCCACTTGAAGCACGTTTGTCGTTCGACCCGACCGAAGCACTGCTTACCCTTTCCGAAGATATTAACCTTGCTTATAGTCCTCGGAGACAACAGTGGCTTGACGATGTTCCACAGCATGGGAAACAAGCTCGGGGCTGAAATAGAGAATACGATAATCCCTCCGCGTGTCTGTGATCTACGCCTTAAACAGAATACAGTTTGTTACATTGGCAACATTACCACCATCGGGCAAATTTATCGCGAAGAAGTTAAGTTGAACTCAACCTCCTGGCATCACCGGCAAGAAAAAAAATTTAATGCTGAGATGCAAGAGTAATTCGTGATCAGTTTCCCTCTTTTGAAAAATGTACACTTCTTCGAAAGCGTAATCACTAATTAATCACAATTTAATCACGCACCTTTTTCTTTTACTACATTTTATTGGTTTATTTAGGACCATATTTACTTGCCCGGCAGGAGGCACTACTGAAAGCAAACATCGGCTGACCATGCCACACATACAGCAGCAGCCGCTGAGCGACGACATTCACAAAAACATGGAAGCACACATGAAAATCAACCAGTAGTTTTCTAACACGTGTGAATTGTACAATGCATGAAAACTTAAACAAATGAAATTTCCTTAACGAAAGGTCACATCAAGAACGTTCGTAGCTGTTCATTTAATTGCTCACCTTAGCTGTGTAGTCGAAGCGATGCAGTGATGAAAGAAGCTAGGAGTGCAGACACGGACGTGAGAGAAAAGATGCTGACAGCACAAGCGCTTATGTTCCTTTGGTCTCTTCTTTTGTGGCCATGACTGTACGACTATAGTTTCTTTCACCACGAACCCGCACCAACTATAACTCAACTTTCTGTCGTTCAAAGCATCCACACGAATCAACTCAGTGATAAACCCTGTATTGTCACAAGCGTCGAAGTGAAAGCTCTCCGACTCTGGCTGACTCCGATCCTCTGGGCAGAACCCCGACTACATCAGCAGCAACTGTGCGTCCGGGCTGACTGCCGTAGCTGCTTCAAACTTTCGATCCTCCCTTTGCAAGCACGTCCACACTATGCTTAATTCAACAGAGCGCATATCTCACCGTTGATGACGTAGGCTACTTCGAGAATCTCCGGATAGTTGGCCTCGTATATTCGCACGGCTTCAGTGATCGTAGACACCACTGCATATTTCAGTGCAAACAAAAGCGCATGACCCACAGATATTCTGTGTGTGCATTAACGATATCCCAATGATTAAAGTGATGCTAATGACCTTACATCGATAAGTGTACTTGAATATTTTTTGCGAGAGAAGGTAAATGGCAAGCTCTGACTACAATACATTAAGTTTCCGGACTAGTTGGGCGTGAATAACAAAATTCGTGCTCATGTTGCCCAAAAAACGCAAAATCAAATAACCATTTACGAAAGTGGTCTGGAGATTCTTGGAGTGTATATACGAGGAATTGTATTTATGTTATCTAACAAAACTCTTAATATCTTCAGATGGTACAGCAGGGAAGGCACAAGTGAAACATTTGTTTACACAAGATCATGCATGGATGACGTTACACAGAACCATTAGGACACATTATTAAAATATTTTTAGAAACAACAAAATCATGGACTAGACCATCACTGAAAACAATTACAAAAAAAATAAAGTATGCATTTGTAACAATAAATTATCAAAAGTGGCACGTCACTATTATAGGAAGACATCGTTGAATCAATCATAAAAACATTGAATTAGTCAAATAATAGGTTACTCAGAATAATAAAAAAGTAAAGAAGAAACGCAATGCACTGGTGACGTAGACTCATCGCTTAGTTTGTCTATTTGGCTTTAAAAGCCGTTAGAGCCATTTTTGAAACAAGCCGTTCATTTTCAATTGCAGTTGTAAACAAATGCATGGATGATTCTTAGGTTACAGTAGGTTTCAATGAGCTCCAGTCTTTATTGCTTTGATAAAAAAAATATATTTCAAGCAATTACTAGATACGACTTGAGTGTACATTTAAGGGCTCATTTTCTTCATTTGACTCTTAAACACAACATTAATGAGACTTAGAGACAGCGCAGCACGTCATTTGAGCCCATTGTCTGTTAGTTATCATTATTAATAGATATCACTTCCGTTTTATCCCCAAAGTCATGCTGTCTAGAGGAAAGGCGCACACGTCATATGCTGCCCCCTCCCCCACCCTCCCTAATGCGCCTCGCTTACCCCATTTCCGCCCGAACGCGTTAATGGCTTGGCCATTCTCGGGCGTGCGGCGTGTTCTGTAGCACGCATGCTACTTCCCACCGATTCACTGCGTACCGCACGCGGGACGAGATGGGAAGTTATCGCACCTGCCCCTTATACGGACCTCTACACCAGCGACGACGCCGACGGCGAATTTTCGTTTAAAGTGTCCCTATAACTGCTATCGCATCGCACAACGAAGCCTAGTAACTGGTGCAACAATTTTGCGACGTATTATGGAAGCCAAGCTCTTTCAGCCGGAGTCACGGCCGCTTACAGAAGAAGAGATCCTGGGTCCTTGGCCGACGGCTTCCCATAGGCGCAAAGTCACGAAAGCCCTCTTGTACTTTTTAAGGACCACAAGACTTCACGACAGCTTGTGAAAGAACTGTGCGAGACCGTGCTGTGTAGTCTCGAACTGACTATTCATGCTTCGCTTTCTTACTCCTCTTCTTTTCTATCTCTTTCCGTTCTATTATTCTCCTTTTCCCCCACCCCAAGTGTAGAGTAGCCAACCGAGCCAAGCTTGATTAACCTCCCTGCCTTTCCTCTTTATTTATCTCTCTCTCTCTCTTGCAACCGTAGCGAAACAAACATGTCAAGCTTGATCATATGTGATGAGGTTAAGAGCGAGTGTCTTTGGTGATTTTTTTTAGAGTCACTTGATTCACTTTCATTCACATCAAACGAAAAGTAGGCTCTGGCTGAGACGTATAAACAACATTCACGACGCCGACACAGACAAGCGGATGACCGGACGCATTTCTGTGTCGGCTGCAAGGGCATTTTTCTGCGCGCAAGGAAAGTAGCGGGAGCCGATCTTTGTTCTAGCAGCTGCTTCAATTCATCAGTGACAACTTGGCTAGATTAGTCTGATTCATATTCTGGAGCTAGCTTTATAAAAAAAAATGTAGAAGAGCATGCCCTTGGCCAGATCGCTTTGTTTGCTCGCTTGGTAACAAGGATAATGCAGGTAGCGTATATGATCTCCTGTGCAAACGGCGAGCTGCAGATATATCAAAAAGGCGTATGGGAGACTTATGCACACACATAGGAACAACAGTCGTCACTGAATAAACGACACCGAGAAGGCTGCACGCGCACCCAAGTGCTGATAAGGAAAACTTTTCATGACCTCGTTTCGAGTGTTCTCAACTGTGCTACCAGCTTGACAAGGACTTCATTCGCGTAAATTTAAAAAAAAAAAACGAGAGGAGACCCCTAGTGTCTCTACGAATGATCGCGTGCCAAAGTGCCATTCTGTCATATACAAACATGTACTTCTGCTGCTACGTGCCCAAGACTTCATCTGAATGGAACCGTCTTCCTGCCTCCATAGCCGGCGACCCTGATCATGCATCATTCGAGACTGCCATTTCTGACTTGTAACACCACTCCTCTCTGTAACGCTGCAAATATCATTGAGAGTATTGTAATAAATAAATAAATAAATAAATAAATAAATAAATAAATAAATAATAAATAAATAAATGATCGAGGTTCGCGGATCTCAGGGCAATCGCACGTATACGTTCATTTTTACCATGCAGACCAACGTTGTAAAACATGGCGTGTGCATTTTCGATGAAGAAGAATATGCAAGAGGTCCACTTGCACTTGATAACACGGATAATGTATATAGCGTATACCCCATGATCTCCTGTGCAAACGGCGAGCTCCAGATATATCAAAAAGGTGCCCGTTAAATATTCCAAGGGAATCGAAATTTCCGCAGCCCTTTCCTACGGCGTCCCTCACAATCATATTGTGCTTTTGAGACATAAAACCTCAGCGGCAATTATTATTGGACCAATAATGTACCGTTACTCGACAGGAGTATACCCATGCCGCTCTACTGTCTTTCTAATTTCCAGCTTCCGGTACTTGTGCTAAAGAGTACAAATAAATATTTGGTTTCTTCGTATTGGAAAGCTACATAACTGCCGGCTGGCAGTAGTCATATTATCTCTGCATCCTTTCTTCTAAACAAAAAAAGTGATATCAAGAGGCTCTGTATAATTTACATTACATGAAGCCATTAGACAAATCAGGGAAATTGTAAGGGTATTGAAATGTCTTTGATGAATAAATGTGACTAATAACTGATAGTAAAATGAGGTTGATGAAAAAAAAAACAAAAGCATCACATGTTGGTCAAGCTTGAATAACATCCTAAATTTCTGCACGTTTCTTGTGCGCCCGTGCATCGGCGTTGAGGTATAGCTCAACAAATGCATGAATATCGTGCCCCGCAGTCCGAGCCACGCAGCAATGTAGTAGAACACCTCACTAACGTGTTAAAGAGAGGGAGAAAGATAAAGGAAATACAGGGAGGTTGACCAGAGGAATGCTACCCTGTAGTTGTCATGTCGTTCTACTACCATGAAAATTTATGCGCTGGTGAGCTTGAATGAGCGCAAGTCCAAAGTGTCCGCGGGACATTTTTTTTTTTACTTGGAACCGCCGTCAACACTGGAAGCTACAGCGGCTCACCGGTGGCCAATGATTAAGAAAAAGAGGGAGAGAGAAAGAGCGATGTTGACAGTTCTTTTTTTTTAATTAGGTGAAACGAATGAAGTAGTGAATGTCGAGGGCACGCTCACCTTCAATCGATGAAAGTTGCCAGAAGGAGAACCCTTCCATGTCTATCACAACGTACATTGTCTCCACACGGCGGCCTCCATTCTGCGTGGATGCCCATGGTTAACATGTTCTTATTTATAATTTCAGAAATTTCTCAAAATCTGCCCAACTCTTAACCCCCCCCCCCTCCCAGCGTGAATGTGTGTCCCTTATTCAGGAATACACTATACTATACTATGGAAGGGGTGCTCTCCCAATTTTTTCTGTGCCTGTGCCGTGCGCCCCACTCATGCATAGCTTTTTATTGAGGGGGGGGGGGGGGGGGGCGTCGGGTTGGCACAACTAGTGAGCGATTCTTCTCTTGACCGCTTGAACACTAGTTGATGGCCGAACAGTTCCCTTCTTGATATACAGCAACATAATTCCCGTGAAAAAAAAAACAAACTCGAAAACGCCGGGCGCGCACTGAGAGAGACATATACAGGTATAGAAATCAGAAGTGAGCAATTTTTAATTTACCCGTATTTACTACTGCCCACTTTGGTATAGTGCTCATGACGCTTAACCACTGATCCGAAGGACGCGGGAAGGAGCCCGTAAAAAAAAACGTTGAGTGCATGATTTCAATTTCTGGAGCACTCCCCTACAGAGTCTATCACGATAATGTCGTAGTTCTGGACGTAGCGCCCCTCAATCACTCATTACAGGTATTTATTTACCAGTGTTTTGTAGGTCGCTATCTCCACTCCCTCTTGGACCTCTTTTTCGACTGCAGGCGCCATGTTCAAGCCCACATAGAACGCGAATGTGCATTTATGATTCACTCTCTTGCAATGCGCTACCATTCAGCAGCGTATATCTTGCAGAATCTTTCATGTAAGACATTCAAGACCTCGAGTGTCTGTTTTGCTGCTAATACCTTTTCGGTGCAAGCCAACGAATCAAACAGGTTGCACCAGATCGAGTGAATGATCTAGCGAGTCAAGGGGCAAGGCATACAGTTTTCGACAATAATTACTGGAATACACTATGGCACTGCGTTCGTTCAGGCACCATGGGGATTATGGGCAGTACGCGGGTCTGCTTAATCTTCGAGATTATGGCTTTCAATGCACTTGTAGCTTTGTTAATGTTGTGTTTTGACTTTTGTTTCACACATTCCCAGGAATGGGGCACATCTGGACGTCGCGCCATCTCTCGGCAGCAGGAACGGCGGCCTGCCATAACTGAATGGGAAACAGGTTATCAAAATCACATATCTTGAAAAAAAGTCAGTCATCAAAAACGACTTCGGGTTATATGTAGCAGAGACCCATTGGTATACTTTAGCAAAACTGCAGTATATCGTGCAAAACCTGTGGTTTTCCAGTACAACTAATACCACCCATAGAAACACATCGGATCTCATTGTTAAATATTAAACGCTCTGGGCAGCTAAGTATAGTCTATGTTGCAGCACTGTAACTTTGCAACACAGTTTAACTAAGTCTCTGTGGTATGAAACCGGAAGTCGTTTTTGATAACTAGCCTTTTTTGTCCAATACGATTTTTTTCGCCTATGTTCCGTTCAGTTACGGCAGGTCACCACTGCGGCTGACGTGAGATAGCGCTATATGCCCAAGCCTCCCAATCCTAGTTACGTAAATTCATGACTGGTTGTGCACTAAGGGAGCCGATCTGAATCGGTGAACCTAAAAGGGTCATGCATGGTTGTGGAGTGGAACTGCTGAACGTTCATTGAACTTCGCATTGCGAGAAAGTGGCTACAGGATGCACTGAGCCAAATGGAACCGAAGGGACGACGCTTGGGCAAATCAGTGTAACATCACTTCCATGCTGCCTGAAGCGCCATGCGTAGAAGTTCACATAGACACTTGCGCCAGATTTTTCTCTATCGCATTATTAGGAAACTATGTGGCAGAAAACTTGCAGCTAACCTGAATGACATAAACGCTACACTTGCTTTAGCTAGCGCATTCAAAATTCTTTAAACTCAGGTCGCTTTAGCGTGTGCATTTGTTGAAGACTCCTTCCCAAAAGACAAAAAAAAAAGTGGACACCATCTGACAATTCATGGTCTACCTGCCTATATAACTGACCTGCAGTGAAATTCGCCTCTTGAGCTCCTCTTGCGTCTCAAGAATGTAAATGAGGTGACGTATGAAGTCGCTGCGTGATGCTGCCTCGAGCAAACCTGCGTGTTTCAGAGAAGAAAGGCGTGTCCAGGTGAACGCCACTACTACAGGCAAAAAAACTAAGCCATGACCAGGATGCCCGCGTTTCAAGAAAAAGTGTTTAGGCTAAAAACTTTTTAATTGTTTGTATAGTCACGTTAAGGAATCAGTCAAATGAACTATATATGTTAATTTTCCTCAACATATCACTAGTAGCTATATGCTGTGTGTGGGTAGGTCTGTATGCATTCTTCTGGTCCTGCGAGTCAGAGTGTTTTTGCTCCAGCACGAACCAATCGACCCGATGATTCACGCTTCTAACGCCTCCTGTGCATCGATTTGTGAGCGGTGGAATGTCAACTATATGAACATGCGCAATACACGCTCGTTCATATAGGACATCCCTTCGTAACAATCCTGATTGTCCGCCCGTTGTCGTTTCTATGCACTACATGGCCAGCTGAGGTCTATTTATTTCGCTCAATGTAATGCTAGGCTATTTGCTACCTTTCTACAAAAACATATTTGGCTGCCACAAAGGATTTGCTCTTGAACACGGTGGAGTAGCTTCATGTTATTGTGAACACAGTTGAAAAGAACCTTCGAATAACGCGTTCGATATATATATATATAGTCACACTGTTAGCTGTTTACTGGCCGAGGACGTTCTGACGGGGCTCCCCGTCGCACACGGCGTGGTATTCACAATTAATTATCAAAGACAGTAATACATCGCTCCCGGAAGGCCACCACGTACCTGCCTGCGCACCCGCGATCACAATGAAGGCATGCCGTGCGTTCAAAGAAAGAAAAAAGAAGAAAAAGTGCTCAAGGTGAACTAAGTCGCGCGCGTGACGTAGCTTCATTCCCCCTTGCCATCCCGCCCTGCTTAGCTTCTTTGTCGCGACGAGAGAAGAAAGCATTTACAACATGCGACAAACCTCTGCTCATACTTGATGGGTTCTGAAAAATTTTGTGCGGCGGTTAGTTCGCGAGGCAATAAATTCGTTCAACGGCGGCCGTTTTATGGTCACTTGAAAAAAGGGGTGCTGTGCTCCTATAATTCATACGAAGAATAAAACATAACCTCCTTGAATGAACCTCGTCGCATTTCCACATGTACCGGTAGTACGAAAACGAAGGCGACGTGAAGGCCACTCGCTTCCGCTACGTAGAAACGTCAACAGTATATGAGCGGCGCAAAGAGCACACCGAAACCACCTATATGAAGGCTGTTTGTGAAATGAGGCACACGAACATTTGCACATGCTCGCAAGTTTGAAGCTACCAAAACTGGCTGTTAAATTAGGAAGTGATAGGTCTGGGGACGCAATGTCTCGGACGAGCTTTGTATGGTCAGCACTTGTCGGCTTGCAGTGGGTAGTGGGGTGGGAGGAAGGCACCTAATATAGCAGACTGATTGCCCTAAATTTCGGAGACATTAGAAGAAAAATTACGGCATATTCACGGGGTGAATGATGATGAATGGGCGAAGCTCCGGAGGGATTCATCGGTAAACTGTGAATCTTCCGTGTAATTCGCCCAGTCGATCATCATGTAAAGACGTGAGAAACGCTGTGTGTGTATATACACAAATCAACTTTTATTTGTTCTTAGACGATGGATGGCTTGCGATGTTCCTTGCCTCGCGCGCTCGCACATCGGGATTCTGTCTGCGAGCGCGCGCTGCTGCCGCCTTGCGCTCTCTCCGCTGTGCAGCCTTATCCATCCGGTGACTCCGAGCGCGCGCCAACAGCGAACGGATTTTATTACAACGCTCCCCCTAGCGTACATCGCCGCACTAAATCGAACGATTGCCTTCAACCAATGACACGCGCCATATGTGACATCATTCCTATTTTATAAGATCTCGCGTCTTTCATCAACTACAAGTACCGCTTTCTAGTTTATAACATCTTGCATCTTTTCATCATCAGCTACAAGTACCACCATCTAGTATAAACACTACAAGAACTAAACGAGAGGTGGCTACATACAGAAGACGGTACCGCCATCTAGTGAACACTGCAAGAACTAAACTAGAGGTGGCTACATACAGGGGACGGTACCGCCATCTAGTGAACACTGCAAGAACTAAACTAGAGGTAGCTGCATACAGGCTACAGGGGACGCACAGCCCACGCCCTAAGGAGCTTCGCCCCTAAAAGGTTATCGACTTAAGTGAATAGACACTCACTTCAGGTACTTTGTAGTCGTCCAGAAAAGTATCCACTTGGTACTTCTTCCTCCAAGCGATGTGCTGCACAGAGGCACGTCGACAGCAACTCTTAATAAACCTACTCACACTGCATGTATACCTCAAGGTGCGGTAAACCTCACGAAAGCCGAGTTTCGCTTAGTTTCTATTTTGCAAGGTTTTCTCTTTCAATTTCCTTTTTTTTTTCTGTATCATGCGTTACCTATACACAGAAGCTACCTGGAATCTCCAGCAGTTCATTTTCTTTGTTTATTTTTTTGGTCATACAAGGCCATGGGCGTTGGCAATGGGGTACAAAAGAGGCACAAGGGGTCATCACAAGTCACACCAGTACTTGCACCTACCCTGGCGACAGCAGCGCTTCTGCCCTCCTCTCCCCCGACCCCAGCTGCAATGGCAGGATGTGTTTTCACCCCGAACCCCTCTCGAGAAAAAATCTGCCGACGCGCAACTGTCCACAGCCAGGACAAAAGGACTCAGGAGGTGTTAGCCTCCTGACTTAATCATGCATGCTCGTACTATGTGTAACAGTAGCAGAGCTTACTTAGTTATACACACTCGAAATAGCAAAATGCATAAAATATGCAAAATCACCAAACAAGTAGCTATAAGCTACACCAACAAAGCAGTTTAAATAATGCTAATGTTACAGGTGAAAAGAAACAGCTACTATTATTTAATGTACCTGTTGCATAGGGGTACACGTAAGGTAAAATAAGTGCAGAATAAAAATTATTACAATTCGCGTATATATACTGGGAGGGAGGGGGAGAGGCGTCAGAAGTTTTCAGGCCACTATCTCATGTATTGCTATGGAAGCTTGGCCTGCGAACTTTCGACCGACACTGTACAGCCGCGGGCGGCCATGTTGTGTAGAGCACTCGAGCAGCCGGTTTTTGATTTGCGGGCCGAAACCTTGAGGCAGTTTCGGGCTCTGAAGTGGTGTATCGGGAGCATGCACGGCCATATACTTGTCAGGCTGACCACTTCAGAGCCTGATACTGTCCGAAGGCTTCGCCCCGCAGAGCAAAAACCAGCTGGTCGTGTGCTCTACAAACGTGGCCGTGGCTGTACATGCGTTTACACACGTAGACACAGATATATATACACAAACATTCTGTAGGAGCCTGCAGTTCACTTAAGTGAGCCCAAAAGTACAATGTATCCAAAATTTTGAAAAGAGATAGACTTTTTCTTTTTCTTTTTAAATTTCGAGAGTTGGTGCATGATCATGCCAGTCCAATTATTTCAGGGTGATCATTACATAATTTCATTATTCTTTGCATCCCACGGTTGGTGCGTGTCCTTTCAGCAACTATGCGTGTTTTACGCAAACCTTTGAGTGTGCGCGCGTGTGCTGCCGAATGTGCTGTGTTTATCTCTCTTCCCTCTCTGCTCTCTATCTTTCATCTTTCCCATACCCTCCCATGCGCAGGGTAGCAAACAGGCTGCCTATAGGCTGGTTATCTTCCCTGCCGTTCTCTTTCTCCTATTTTCCTTCCTTGGCCGGGCTTAATTAAGTAAATGAACCACAGTGTCCGGATATTTCGCGACATATGGATACATCGACAACATCATGTTGTAAATAAAGCAAAAATGCCGAATTCTGTACGTTAGCATCTATAGGTATAGAGCTGTATCCTAGCGTCAACAAGCGTCTGGTGCTGTCAGTTTACGATGCGTACGTCACCGCAAAATAAACGGACCTCTGGTTAACTTTCCTGCCTCTGCATCATCATCATTCACTCCCCCCATTGCTATCTCTTTCTTGTTTCTCAATTAAACGACAGTAGCGGACGTCTTTTCACAATGTTCTGACCAGTTATTTGTTACGATTCGATACACTTGACTCTTCAGTATTAGTCGTGAATCCACATCGCGCCAGCCCGATTCCTTCCGCTATAGCTTGTTGTCACTGACAGTGACCGACACTACCACGTATGATACACTAGCGCCACCTTGGTGGAATCACTACATCGAGTGAATGCAAGACAAGTTGCTCGGTCTTTTGATAACACCTCTCCGATCTCACTCACCTCTCGCAGCATTTTCATTGCGTCGTCCAGGTCAAATTTCCTGGCTGTAAAAAAAAATACATATGAATCGTGAAGAGGTGTGTTGGTCGGGGAAGAGGTATAAGCGTTGCAATCTTACGAATAATAATGGTATTTGTTAGGACTTTGTGAGTGTGACGACTAGCTAGGTTAGCACGAGTCCAACAAAAGCACGTGCGTTTGTTTATATTGCCTACATATGCAAATGTTTCTGCTTGCTGTAAGAAGCCGGGACTCTACCCATTTTGTACCACAAGCCCGCACCTCTGTCGTTCGCGTATTATATAAAATCTTTTATACGGCACGTCATAGACGCGACGCCATATAGCTCACTATGTAGGCATGCTTTCTGTCCGGATTATGGCTGTAACCATAAGTTGGTGGACAGTCTTGGAAAACGCGATGTTTCAGGCATGCCATGTACTGGTTCCAACACAAATTTTCGAAGTGTTTTAAACTATTCTGGTAGCGTTGCCTTGGAGTTATACAAATGTGCAAAATGCTAAACACTCAAACGGCGCCATATGCTTCTTGAAGGCAGCAAGGCTTTGCCTGACTTTTTGGTTATATGTGTTTAGTGTCCGAGATTTGATCACTTATTCTCATCTATGTCATTGTAATGTTTCCAAGCTTTGGTTGACTTCTGTTGCTCTCGTTACATCTGTCTCTGCAAATGAAGACGTCTGCTGCACTAGTCATACGCAATGAATTAACAAGCATTCCTTTTACGTGAACGTAATACTACCATAAGAGACAATATTCTTAACGGCCAAAGGCTTGACGATTGATTTCAGACTGCGACCTTGCTAACAAAGACTAATAGAATTTAACGGCTAACACCAGCATAAATAAAGAAAATTCAACACGTTATTACCTTATCAGCTGCCTGGCCTCTCGCGCGAAACACCAAACAAGAGCTCGCAGGTAATATAAACAGACTCTGACGTTAAGACGGTGTGATGACAAAAACGCAGTTAAACTAGGACTTCGTCTGCACTTTTTTTGTTTTAATTTCAAAGCAAAGGCTATCCGTGCAGTCCCGAGATTTCGTTCACCGTTACAAAGCTCGCATAATCCTCCGAGCATAACACCGCCAAACAATATTAGTTCCAGCATATATATACCGAGTCAATCCAATACTATACTGCAAGTCATCGCCTTTATTAGAGCACTTACCTCGTAGCCATTTGAGAAGGTACCAGTCTTCTCTACATGGCGGTGAAAGATCGGCCACTGCGGCTCGAAACTGCAACATTTGTTTCGGCATGCATGTTACCCATGCACTACGCATGATAAAGAAAACAAGGTACACAGTGCTGTAGCACACAATGCACACGCGAGAGAGAGAGGGGGGGGGGCTTAAATTTTATTCTCTCGAAAAGTTTCAGTTTGGCACAAGTACATGTATGCGCGTACACACACAAACGCACACACGAACATAAAGTATGGCTAACCTTCCCCCCCCCCCCTTCTTTGCGGGAAAAAAAAATTCTGGTTACGTTACTGAACGCACACGTGATTTGGTGGATTACGTCTGTTGCACTTAGGTAAGCAAATGATGCAACGCTGTTTTTCTAGTAATGAGATTGATGTACTCAGCAGCAGTACACCGGGAGCTACTGAAACGTATTGTGAACGTATTGGCATGTGTGTGCCAATAGGAGGAGGAGGAAGCAACAAAAGAGAGAAGGCAGGGAGGTTAACCAGAAAGACATCCGATTGGCTACCCTACACTGGGGATTAGGGAAGGGGACAAGAAAGATGAGAAAGAGGGAAGAAAGGGAAAAGAAAAAAGGGGGGAGAGACTGACAGTAATTTCGCTGCAGCGTGTAGAACTCTACCGCATGTCAGAGGCGTTCACACAAGCCTGTCTTTCTCAGGAAACAAAGCAGGGCTTTCACTGCCTTGTGGGCTGTCGAGGCATGTGGACGAATACGTTCGCAACTATGGTATATAAGCATATATACTATATGACACGCATGACATATATATGTCATGCGTGTCAAACGTTTGTTTGTGTGAAAGGCCGTATACTGCACTGCCGGTGCTTGTCAGGTCTTGCGACGCTGGTAATGTGCACAAAATAAGTCAGTGATGTTGCCTGTTTGTCTGTTGTCATAAAACACTCATGTAGAAGGCAGGAACCAGCTGGCTTAGCGTCTGTGCGCGCAACGATTATCCTGCCCGACTCTCCACGAAACGGTACGAGTGGTTATTGAGCACTCCGAACGCAAAATTCAAACTAACTTCGCAGCTGCTTCACAGAGTATCGGTCTGTTAAAGTATTCGTTTGACACGTAGCGGTCACTTTCAGCTCCGTAGTTAGTGCACACGTGCGTGTGTGCAATTAAGATCGTGCCTTTCTGGGTGCAGCTGGACGCAGCCTCGCTCAGTCGTAACGCAGCCATCACAAAACAGATCAGCTACTTTGAAAAGAAACAGAAGGGGCTTGGAGATCAAAATGAGACTCATGAATAGAGACGAATGTACACTCGCGAATGGCTGTGACTGACGCGACGCTCCAACCATGCACTGTACAGTCCGTTATACAGTCGGCTTAAGAAGCAGGAATGGCCCGCCATTCCTTCTTGATTAGTGAGTCGTTCGGTCAGTAACTGGCGTAATAGTGATTCAGCCTCTACTGCGCTAGTGTTAAAGGAGTCGGTGATAAAATAGTAATACCTGAATTATTTAAGAGTAAACGTCCTTCTCATATTCTCGGCCGCGTTACCCGACGGTATACTGCCACTGACCGCCCAACTTATGATGTCACTCTAGAGCGCCTACCTATTAGTGCACGCTCGTTTTCACCCGCCTTTTAAGTAGAAATGCCGCTGCAGTCTGAAGTTGTACCAGACTATAGTCAATCGCGATTTAGTTCGAAACTAGAGGTCACTGTACTTTGAAACAAAAGCAGCAAGTAGCACATGATATGTGCCTCTATCAGCAGCGAAGCCACACGAAAAGGCTGAAAGAGATTATCTCACCGCGAAGGTTACAGCTGAGGCATCAAAACGTAATCAATAGGTACTGATTGAGAGCAGCGGGAACAACAATGCGGATAGCTCTCCATTGTGTATATACTACCTCCATCGATATCAGATAAGATTCGTGTTGCGTGTCCTGCTTTTGCGCAAAAAAGGATTGATATTTACTGATAACTAGGGCCTGTTGAAACCTTATCTGTTATGCTTCCCCTGCGCCCGTGTACCAGTTGCATCGAAGACAATGACCATTCACGATTGATATGCGCGGTTTAGCATCCCAACGCCGACCATTCATGACGCAGCTGTTTTTTTGTGTGTGTGTGTGTATTACGCCGTTAATTTTGTTAACTGAGTTATTGACGAATGACTCCGGCCAGTGCTGTTCAAGTCATCTCTGTTATTAACGAAGTATTAAGCGTAACATTTCCTCGTGAAAATAAAAATAGCATTTGAGAGTGTGACGGTGGACATATTCTCGAAGTGTACCATTACCTATATACCAAAAAAAAATGCATTTTCTCTCGAAGTAGGTCACACTGAAAGAGAGTACGAGTCGCCACAAACATTCGCCCCATATTTTGATTGATTTTCTTTTGTTTCTTTGGATTTGATTGATTTCTTTTGCGGAAACCATCAATCGTGTCCCCATGGGGTCAAATCGGCATTCCCCATTCGTCCAATAGATTACCTTTTTCTTTGTTTTTGTCAAACGCCGCAACAGTAGGGCGTACACCAGCTTGACTAGTTTACACACAGAATGGGTGCGCTTTCGTTGCACAGCTGTACACTCATTATTACCATTTGCAAGCATTTTTTCCTACCGCTAACTTCTCGCAGATACTTTATAAGTTAATGTCGTGGGCATCCTACGCTCTCCAACTACAACTAGTCAGCTCCGCTCTGAAGAGTCATTCAAACTTTTCTAGGCGTCTTGAATACACGATTGTCACTGTAAGTAAAAATGACTCGAAAGAGAAAATCACAACCTTATATGTTTACGTGTTTGACAGAAATTTGTCACGTAAAAGGGGTGGAAGGCTTAGACAGGTGAGTTTTTTTAGGGAAGGGGTGAGCAGGGAACTTATGTCTTATTTTTACGCCATGTATTTTCTAGCGGAAAGTAAACCATAGAAGGGAAGAGGCTGCGACCCCCCCCCCCCCGCCCCTCTTTCTAGAGTTGGCCCCATCCGAAATCAATTAATCAAAAAGTTTTTCACCGGAAAATTCTTCATAGTCTTCAGGACAAAAAGCTGCTCCAGGCAGTTTCATTCAGTCCTTGAAGCATAAGACAGCCAAAGACGTTCACACTACAAAGGTGCATGTGAAAATATAATTATACGAGTGATAATGTAAGAGTTCCGACAGTAAATACATCGAGTAATAAACGTGTCTCCACTGCGTCTTCTATCCAGGTGTCTTCTAAACTTATTCCAGCCGTTTGGGGGCCTATTTGGTACTTTTCTCAGGAAATAATAAGCCAAAAGGCACCTTATAGCAAAACTGATTCGAGTCACCGGAACTACCTCTAAAACATTGACTGGTTCTAACATAACCCCTAGAAGCTAATGGCGGTACAGTTAACGCTTATTCTTTGCCTTCATATAGTCCGATTGATACGAACACAGCTCAAACCAGATGCATCGCGATCACCTTCTCGGTACAGGGAATGGAAAACGTTACAGATCTCTCCGCTCGCGTTGGCCTGCTGCTAATTGAAGCACATGGCAATTAAAAATCGCGCATGCGTTGTCTCACCTGGTCAAGCGCGGCGCGCTCACAGGCGCTCAGCTGTTCGGCGGCGGCAGCGTTCTCGGCGTTCATGGCGGATCACGGCGCCTACACTGTGCCAAGGCCAACATATCGCGCCGTTATACGTATCACCGTCGTCTCGCGCTGCGCTCTGCGGCGGCGCTGTGGGTCGTCGTTAAGCGACACACACACACAAGCCCTCGCCGAACGGAGCCCGTCAATCGCGTGTCTTTCACGACGGCACCATGTCATTCATCGTGGAGCCTGGACATCTGAACAGCTGCTTGAGCGTTTTTTTTTTTAGGGGCGAAACTTTTTACAGCGGCAGCCGTTCGTCCCCCGTAGTTTGTAACAAGTATAACATTCTGACCTCCAAGGTGGTGCCGGTGAGAGACTTCTTCTGTGCGTCGTTCAACAATAAAAAATCGTGCTCAATGTACATGTCAATGGCTGCTAATGGGGAACGAGAGACAGGAGCATTTGGCTTTTAGTTAACGTGCACGCTTCAATCCACATTAGCAGTCATTGGCATGTACATTGAGCACTATCTGACAAGAAAGGGTTGCTACATTAAACTCGCTGGGTGTAACCTCCTTAGCTTTAGAAAGGTTTAGCGAGCGTTGAGCCGCAGTGCCATGAATATAGTCTATACCATGAATGAACACGAGGTGGTTAAACGTGGGAAGTAGATACGAAGCATGCACAAGCCGTAAGAAAGTAAAAGCCGAATTCTCCTGTCTCTCATTCCCCATTGGCAGCCATTGGCAAGTACATTGAGCACCATCTGACAAGAAAACGTTGCTACGTTATACTCGCTAGGCGTAACCTCCTTGGTTTTCGAAAGGTTTAGCGAGCGTTGGGCCGCAGTGCCATGAATACAGTGAACTAGTATATACCATGAACTCGAGGTGGTTAACGGTGGGAAGTGGACCCGAAGCGCAAGCCGTAAGAAAGTGTGCGTGTGCCACCTCACGTTTAGTCCTTGGAATATCCGCTGGATGGCGGTGCTCCTATATGGGGAATATATGATGAAAAGATGCGAGATGGTGGTACTTGGAGTGTTGAATAGATGGACGAACGGACACATAGACAGATGCATGGATGGACGCATGAACGGACGCAGGGGCGGCTGCATGGACGAACGCAGGGACGGACGCATGAACAGACGCACGCACGGACGGGCTGATGGACGCATGGACGGTCACACTGACGGACGCATGGACGGACGGAAGCGAAGAACGAATGGACGGACGAATTCTTCGCCCCACTCTCCATCATTCACTCCGTGGATATGCTGCCATTTTTTTTTTTTTGCGTACGTTTAGCCGTCGGGAACGCAACGTTTACTTAGAAGTGTGGCAGCTTAGGGCGAGTTAGTAGTGACATGACGATAGTTATAGCGCGAGAACAGAGCGACGACACAGACAGAGACACAGTGTCCTTCGTGTCCTTCTTGTCTGTGTGTCGTCGTTCTGTTCTCGCGCTATAACTATCGTCAAGGCAACATTTACGTTGTTTTATTATGCTATATAGTAAATGTTGGGGTTTTACGCGTCGATATCACGATATGACTAAGAGGAACGCCGTATATAGTGAAGGGTGCCGGAAATTTCGACCACCCGGGGTTCCTTAACAGGGCACCCAAACTTATGCCTCAGGCAGTTTCGCCTCCATCGAAAATGCGGCCACCTCTTTCGGTAATTCCATCTCTCGACCCGTGGATGAGCAGTCGAGCGCTACAAACAGTAGACCACTGCGACGGGTTTTGTGTCATTGTTGAGGTTTATGATTGGGCAGGGGCAACAGATGAAACGACAGAAGTATAAACCGCTTCTGGCGTATATATAAATGTATTGGTTTATCACGAACTGCGCACATTACTCGGAAGAGGGGCCCGACTGCCTCACTTTATCAGTATGTGTCGCGTGCAAGACTGTGAGGGATTTTCGTCCTTACCATGTTCACCTATCAGCTGTGGCTCACTCCCACTGCGATGGATTCACCTAGAACACCTAGAATTGAATGTTATTTTATAAATTGATATAAAAAACTTAAATAAAGTGCAATTTACAGGGTAGAAAATTCAAGAAATTTTAATGCAAGTTTCGGTGCATTGTGAAATTTATATATGAAAGAAAAAAACAACAAATATGTTTCTTGTGTGGCACATGCCTTTCTTCTTCCTCATAGATTACACTAAATATAGTGGGGCATTTGCAAGCTAGAAAACGTGCAAAAATAACTCGAAATCTGAAATAATTGTTTATTTACTGCACTATTTTCGTCTTTTTAAGCTATGACCGAAATTACGTAAATATTCTACTTTTTTTCCTTGCTCTTTCCTACCTTGTATTTTCTTTATTCTAAAGAAAAAATTGCGCTATCCAACGTTCTCTTGCCTAATTCCCCGTGGTTGAAAAGTACCACTGAGTGAAGCAGAAACAAACTAACAAACAAACATACGAATAAATAAATAAATAAATAAATAAATAAATAAATAAATAAATAAATAAATAAATAGAGAATCGCATCATTTTAGTCTGCGCATTGGTGCATTTTATCTGAGGCGGTATTCTTCGCAACGCTGCAGCAATGCTGACTTGTTAGTCCGCCGCAGAGGAACAGTGTCTACGGTGCTCTGCTGTGGGCCCGAAGGTCGCGGGATCGAATCCCGGCCTTGGCGGTGGCACTTTGCCACAGGCGAAATGGTTGAGGTTCGTGTGCTATGCGATGTCAGCGAACGTTAAAGAACACCGGATGGTCGAAACTTCCGGAGCCCTTCACTACGGCGCCTCTCGTAATCATATCGTGATTCTGGGACGTGAAACCCCAGATAATATTAATACTAACGTGGCAATACCACGGGAGCGCGTATATATATACATACCAAAATATGCTATTTCACAAAACAAAACAAAAATGCGTGGTACCTTTTTGTCACTTCAGTGCATGGTATACGTTTCGTTATACAGGTCAAGCTTATCCTCCGTGGTGGGTTGTGCCAAGTATTATGAGGAACAAAAACCAGGCAGCAGAAAGAAAGTCTGCCCGCTAAGACTACTTTGATATTGCTTTTACGAAACACAATTGTAATGTGTACGCCTCAAATTTCGGTATTCATTAGTGCTTTTTGTGCACCACAATATTCAAAATTTGCAGCATAACTGTAGAAAGCAAAAACAAAAGGGAACGAGGCGCAAAACGATGCAATAAACACTACGAACCACATTATGTTCTTGCGATTATTGCCTTATCTCCACAAGTATTTCTCAGTTTATTGGTATAGGAACAAGAAATCATCAGCCTAGTGGCAGAGACTTGAGTGCGCTTGTCAATTTGCTTCCGTCATGTCTCAAATCGCTTCCGTCATGTCTCATGTCTCATTTGCTTCCGTCATGTCTCAAATCGCTTCCGTCATGTCTCATGTCTCATTTGCTTCCGTCATGTCTCATGTCTCATTTGCTTCCGTCATGTCTCATGTCTCAAATCGACAAGCGCACTCAAGTCCGTCAGACTTGAGTGCGCTTGTCGATTTGTTTCCGGCGAAAGAGAAAAGTTTGCTGTGGGCTAGCGAAACAATTTATAATTTATGGCAGGTAACAAATCACATATCTTTTGTTCACTCAACGTGGTTTGCGAGTGATGAGAGAAAACGACCGATAGTGCATAGACGAACGGGCCGTGTATTAAAAGTCAATAGTCACCACAGCTGTACACAGCACAGTCATATAGCGTAAAAAGCTTCGACTCTTTCAGTATCAATCAGCATCAAAAGGTGAATGCATCAAAGACGGGTAAGCGAGCCACCATCCTAGTATGTCAAGTTTTCTTCTGTTATTTTTATGGACAATTTCAAGAATGCAAGCGTTGTACCCCAAAAAACTTGCGGTCACCTCATTTACCAGCTCCTAACGTCGAAATAAAAGCACGTTTTCAAGTTTCTTTCATAAAAAGGAAAGTCTTTCCTTGGTTTTTCAGATAAAAGGAACGTGCGCAAAGTGCAAGGGACATTTCTATAATTTTTATGTAGCTCAAAAGAACATTTACTTGACTATATTTCGTGAAATAAGGGAAGGAAACTGTATAAATTCAGCAGGTTATTTTCTAAAGCACTTCTTGCCCTCTCCTCCATCGACTGTGTCCTTGACTTATTGACATTTGTGCAACAAGAATAAAGTCGCAAGCGCATATCAGTGGCACTTTCTTGACGTGAAGGGTGCATATGATAATGTACCTCACGATGCCATCCTCACTTCTCTCGCAGCAATGGGCATTGGTGGACGAATGTTTCAATGGATAAAAGATTATATAACTGGCAGGGGTTTCTTTGTGCAAACATATGAGGGTACAACTGCTGAACATTACACCTACTGCGGAGTACCTCAGGGAGGTGTTTTAAGCCCCACATTGTTCAATGTGGCCCTGATTGGTCTTGTGAAGGTTCTGCCAAAGTCGGTGTGCCTATCTATATACGCCGATGATATTTGCCTCTGGAGTGCTGCAGTTACTCGCCTTCAGGTGCGTGCACGAATACAGCGGGCAGCAACCCTCACAACAGCCTACCTTCAGAAACAAGGCCTAACTATATCAACTGTGAAGTGCGCGTTGATGGCGTTTACACGCAAACCAATGACGCCATACCCTGTTTACATCAATGGGCAGAGTGTCAAATATGCACGGACGCATCGTTTCCTGGGCATAATAATCGACAGAAGTCTTTCGTGGAGCCCACATTGTGCGTACTTGAAGAAGAGACTGCTATCTATTTGTGCATATAATGAAATTCATGTGCAGGAAAGCATGGGGAACTTCGGTGGCCACCATGCTACAGCTGTACAGGGCCCTATTTCTGGGTCTATTGCGCTACAGCTTGCCGGTACTGACTAACACTTGCAAATCCAATACTCATTCATTGGAGAGTTTGCAGGGTCAGGCACTGCGTATCTGCCTAGGACTGCCCCGATGCGCTTCTACTTATGCCACAATCATGCTTGCCAAAGACCATCCGGTCAGGACATATAGAGTTGTGGATTGCCTCAGAGCGCTGGATTCCCGCATGGATATGCCTTTTTCCATCG